TATCCGTGCCCAATTTTTCTTCATTAAAACTACATTCGTTTAACATTTTTATATTTTGTTTAACCTTTCGTTTTAAGTATATACACTCCTTAGGAACTACTTAAATGATCGCTGGACTACGAATACATTTTTAGAGGAAAATATAATGCATTGACAAAAATACGAAACAGAATCTGTAAACGCTCGAAACTACGGACAGGGCAGCCATATGTTGGATTAGAATTTGTTTCTTACTGGGTTGTTGTGACTCTCATGGCTTTTGCTAGTGCTACATCTAGTTGATGGTTGCGGGCAGCTGCAAAGGGCAGCTAGACGAACTCATAACCAATGCCAAACTGGAAACCATGATGGATTTTGTCTGTGCTCTGGCATCGCACTGGCACACAATAGTTGAGTTCGATTCGGGCTCTTTCTGCTAGCTTAACCGCCAGACCCATTCCAAATGCACTACGCATGTTTTCTGCAAGGAAAATTGTAGTTAAAGACCAGATAGATTGCTTTAAGGTGTACAAACCTGTGCTGAAGCTGTTGCTGTTGCCAATGTTGTAGAAGAAATGCATTCTAAAGTGGCTGGCCAGGTTTTTGAAGACTCCGGCAAAGGGAAGCGGTGTCCATAGGTGAGCTCCCGTGCACCAGAAAGTCTGTGCTCCAATTGACGTGCCATCAATCACTGGACCAGCTCCGCCAAATTTAAATCCTCTCAGTGTCAATGGACCACCGCAGTAGAACAGCGAGTTAATAGGCAGCTGGGTGGTATTTTTAGTCTCCTTTACGACGCCAACGCGACCGCAAAACTGGGCCACTAAGCCGGCAAACAGTGGCACATTCAACTCTCCGTGGGCAGTGCTGCTGGTGTAGGCGACATTACCGCCCAATCCGCAGTACTCGTTTACTGATTTAAGGTAAATACCGCGGGTGGGGAATACGTTTCCATCCCGATTATCGTAGGCCACGGAGTAGCGCAGCAAGGAGGCCAATTTTGGGCCACAGTGATCGCGTATGGCGAAGGGCACTGATTTGTTTAGCAATCCCACGTCCCTGATGGAGTTCTCATACTGAAGCGAGTGCGTCAACTGAAAAATACAAATAAATTGTTTAAATATACCATGGGTTACCGTGAATGATTTCCAAACTTACATCCACTCCCACCATGGTATGCGCCGAAAAGTCCACCAAATAACCGAAGTTTGTGGTTTGAAATGAACTTATGTCATACCTATCGGTTTGCCTAAAAATGCTGAAAGACATTCTGTAAAAGAAGAGCAACTGTTAATAGTAAACATCCAACTATATAGAAAAGACCCTCTTACTCAGGACGATTTTCCTTGAAGCGTGTGTGGAAGAAGGGTTTCCAGAACTTCAGTTGCAGATCATTGGCCCTGGTGCTGCTATAGCTGCCCTGCAGTGAGATGCTCTCGCCGCGTCCCAAAATATTGGGGATAGTCAACTCCGTTCGCAGGGAGCCCTCATTCTGGCCAATCTCAGTGCCCGCCGAACCCATCATGCGCGACATTTCGTTGCCCTTGAAGGTAACCTCGTATCCCTGCGGTGAGGCACCCGTTCCGCGGCTAACATCAATGTGCACGCTCACATCTTTGAAGATGCCTAGCTCGTGCAGATACGATTTCGTGGACAGTGCCTCCAGCATTAGATCCTGGAAATTATTGGCCTTGAACAGGCCATCTGCCGCTCTCATCACATAGTCGTTGTGGGTGCGCAGCAATCCGCTGACATTCACGCGATCCACTCGTGCTGAGATTTTGCTCAGGTCGTATTTCGAGTCCTTGGATGCTCCTGCGTCGCGACCCGGCTTCGGCATCTTGCTGACTTCGGTGGGCAGGCGTTAAGCAAATACTGAAATTATGTGGATGTTACTATATTGTTTAAATAAAACTTTTATGCTAATTATACTTCTTTCTATCTTTGCAGATTGAACTGGAGAATCTCAATAGTGCAACCGACGAGATTAATAAGCTAGAAATCGAGCTAGAGGCAAGTCCATAACACTTTTACCTATGATATAATAGCCTAATAATATTCCTTCATGTTTTGATTAGGAGGCCAATTCCACTTTTCGCATCCTTTTAAATGAATCTACACGCCGACTTAAAGTTTCCTCCAAAAAGTTGGGCAACTGCATCGAGAAGGCTCGACCTTACTACGAGGCATTGGACAAGGCACGCGAGGCTCAAATCGAATGCCAAAAAGCAGCGGTTAAGTTTCAACGCGCTAATGGTTAGTATATAACAAAATAATTTGAGAAAAACGAGTTAAGAAGCTTTCCTTTCCGCCTTAGAAATCCATGCCGCAGCCAAGGAGACGGTGGCGCTTGCTGAGCAGCGTTTTATGTCCAACTCGCACGAATGGCAGTTCGACAATGCCTGGCAGGAGATGCTTAACCATGCTACCCAAAAGGTGATGGATGCCGAGACTCAGAAAGCCGACTGTCATGCGGAGCACCAGAGGCTCACCAAACTGTTCAACACCGCCGAACAAAAGCTGCAACAGCTTGAGGATCGCTTTCGTCGGAGCATTAACAAGTCGCGGCCATACTTCGAAGAGAAGCAGGTGTGTCAGGACCAGCTGCAGACGCAAAAAAACCGCATTCAGGAGCTGCAGCAGCAGGTGGCCGGTGCTAAGAGCACCTATTCCACGGCCTTGCGCAATCTGGAGAGGATCAGTGAGGATATACATAGGCAGAGGGGAGATTTTCCAACTCCACCAGGACCCCGCGAGCCAGGTGTGGGAGCAGAGTTAAACTCGCCGACTTCCAGTGCCTTGCCATCACTGCCCGATTTCCAGCTGGAGCTTGAGAAGTGCGACTATCCCTCCATAGCGGGCAGCCAGATGTCTCTGGGCGTTAAAACTCCCCAAGCAGCTGCCGAAACTGAAGATGAGGAAGATGCCTGCGACTACGATGAAACGGGAGCCGGGGAACTCAGGGGTGTAGTAGACGAACGTGATTTGGAGGCTTTACGACAGAAGGTCAAGATCCTGGCAGTGCGTCCCATTGAGGGCGGAGATGGACAGCAGCAGAATGATGTGTGGGAGCATGAACTGAAGGCCACGGTGGACAAGCTGGATCACTTGATGTTGCTCAAGGAAACGGCCAAGAGACAGCAAACGAACCGCTTGAAGTCCACCGAACAGCGACCCGATTCATTGGGCGCTGAGGCCTTGAAACGCCACTGCGATGTGGTCGAGGTGAAGGTCACCCCATGCGTCACCACCGCCAGCTTGCCAGTAACACCCCACCACCAGCTGAATCACCTTGCACCGCCCACGCCCATAAAAAAGCTGCAACAGCAACTGGCGCCTTTGCCCTCCGTAAACGTCTCCATGCGGGAGTTGCCCCTGTTGGCCAGGTTGTCCAACGAGCTGCTGGATCGCAGCAGTGCTGCCTTCGGCGGAGTGCGGAAGACGCTGCGCAGGCGCTCCCTGGAATAGTGAGCAACTAGGGGGGCAGAGGAGACATTTTCAGCCAGCCCCATATCAGATTTGTTTATATTAAATGAATAATTAAGTAATTGTAAAACGTTAAACGCCGCATTTAAATGTGCACCACTATCGATAAGTCTACACATACACCCACAGGATATAAACAGCAACTATTTTCGTATAAATGTTGAATACATTCTAATCTAATGTCTCCGTATATGTTTCTCACTGTTAATACTTTAACTATGTAAATGTTTTGTGATTCGAGAGAGCAAAAAGAAAAGGATTGGATGATATGCAAACAATAAGCAGCTTTAAGTTAATGTTAAAACCAGGTAGACTCACTAATTTAATTCAAATGGGCACATGCACTAAGTAGTTTAGCCTAAAAATACCACGAAAATGAAACTCTGAATAAAAACAAGTGTCGAAATGTAACGAATTCAATTAGATAACTAAGCGAGAAACTCTCAAAGCTAAATGTAGTGGATTAATAAAAGGAAAGTGGTCTAGATTGGTTCGGTGCCCCAGAGTAAAGTAAGGAATGTGAACTACAAGTATTTGAAATAGAAATAATATTGAAACTTGAAATGAGAATAAAATTGCATTCTAATTCAAATTGAAAAGAGTTTTACTGGCTGGATAAGTTCTTTTTCTATATTAATTGAGATAAATTGCATATTAAATGTGTTTCAAATTATGAGTGCTTCACCAATGCGATTAGCAAGATTGTTAATAAACATTTGTTAGTTGAGTTGGTACGTGCGGGTGAACTTTTCAGAGATCGAAACTTGAGGTACGCCTTCAATGATGCAACTGCAGCCGAAATATTGCAAATATACAATTCACAGGGTAAAACGCGAGCATTTCTAAAAATTTCGAAGTGATGTCATTTTCGCTGCATTTGGCAGTCAAATCCAAATATTCTGTCCCCAAATTATGTAAGCCCGAATTGGCCGCAGTCGCCATCAGCTGACCTACCTTAGAATTGGTACCGCCTCGGCAGGTGGGGTGGCACACGCGAATTTTGGATTTGGATTCGGCGGTGTTACGAGCACTAAAAAATATATGAAACCGGGCACAAGCGCAAATATTCCCAATTACTTTCGACTGAAACGCGTGCGGCACCGAAAATCAACAAGCTGCTTCTTCTTCTTACGCAGTGATGCCAGCTGTTCAGCGGCATAAATGGGCAACATAAAACAAGCTAGGAGTGTTAAAAGATTTTTAAGGAACAAGTTATAACTGTCTTTAAGGAATTTAAAACCATTGTTCAACTGATTTTATTTTTAACGCATAATTATGGCCATCTTATTATGGTCATCTGGGTAGTTAATTTCAATTAAATCACAAGGAACTTAGCTAAGTGGCCACCTCTAATGTATACTCGATATATTACGTCGATAACGTTGTCAAAACAAGCGGTCACACTGCTTGAGCAAAAATACCAAGGAAGGCGCACGTATATTTAAAATTCAGAGAATTGATAATAGGGAAACTTGATTTCCGCCTAAGTTATAATAAAAATAAACTCCATTAACGTTAAATTACGTTATATTGCTAATTCCTCGCCTCCGGGGGCACCTTTAATTGTATAATCTTTAAACTACGGAAATTATAACTAGCAGCCCTACGATTTTTTCACTTTGGTGCATCTGATGCCCTTGGATTGCAGTTTTCGCATGATGTCCAAGGTCTCTTGATTTTTGGTCGGATTTAGCTCAGTCGTGGGAGTGGCATTTAAATGGGTACTTCCTCGTTTTACCTCCACACCACAGGCTCTGAGTTTGTTTAGGATTTTCTGGGTGCCATCCATGGATTGGCTTTCCAATGGAGGACTTGCTTTGGTTGTTATGGGGGCAGGAAGTTTGCCAGATATCTTGGCAGGAGCTGGCTCTTCCGATATCCTTGAACATGCTGGTATATCAGGCTTCGATGTAGGAGAAAGTTTCTTGGAAACCAATAGAGAAGTTGACAGCTTTGGCCTGGAAGCTCCTGATTGCAATGGCCTGACAGAACGTACAGGAGGTGAACTATGACCCGTTGGTGGTACCACTGGAATCCTTTCTTTTTTCTCCGTCTCCTGCATCCGCTTCAGATCCTCCAGCACATTCGGCACCAGGATAGTGTCCTTTTTCGTCTTCGCCGTGGTCGGTTTGGGCGATGGAAGTGAGGCACGGCACCTACGCTGCTGCTGAGCGGTCAGAATGGGACGGCGGGAGGTGCTAAGACTACGCAGGCGTTTTGCAGGCACCACTTCCGGTTCCTGAGACTTCTCGGTGAGCTGCACTAGGTACTCCTTTACCATATTTTCCTTGGCATTGGTCTTTGCAATGGGTTGCATAGTGGGCTTGGGATCGGTGTACCATCTTGGATCCTCCAGCTCAGCCTCCCAGTCGATGGAGCTGCTGGTGCTGCTCGTATTCTTAACCGCCTCCAGGTCGTAGATGTGTAGCTGCAAGAAGTGAGGATAAACAAAACGATTCTCGGAATGTTTACAGGACAACGCGGGCTTCTGGAGCCTCCTTAGCTGCATACCTCCTGCCTGCCATTCACCAGCCTCGTTTCCCGCCTGGCGTCATCATATGCGAGCGGTTCGTTCGGCGTTACTATATCTTTTAGTCCGGAGCATTCGGTTAGGTGGCTCTGGAACGATTGGAGCGTCATGAAGTGGCATTCGCAGCTGCGGCACAGCGTAAGAAGGCGTTTTTGATCGTCGTACAGGACGTCGCCGAGGCGAATTGTCCTCATGGACTTGATTTTACGCGTTCCATTCATCTCTTTTCAGCAAATTCGCGCCAAGGGGGAAAATGGTATTAAAAAATTACTAGTTTGTTTTTGCTTTCGTGCAGAGTGGCCAGACGTTGAAACCTAATAGATGCCAACTATTTGTTGTTGGTATGCAATTTGACATAAAAATACCGAGCAGTGAGTACTATTGTACTTGCGCGCGCAATTTTAAAACTTTATCAAATAAGACATAAATATATTATGTTTCAAATAAGAAAGTGACAGAATCTAAGACTCGTTTGGGATGAGGAGATGGATGCTTAAATAAACTGATATATTAATATTTTATGTAGTCTCGTCTGTTTATAGAAATGGTATGCAGTATTTGAATATTTTTTTTTTTGATCATTTATGGCTACCCATTGTTTAATTTTATTCAAAACGAATGGCAGAGATACACGAACATTGAGGGAATTTACCAAAAAGTGTGATCGTATTTTTTCGCTCTATATACCATTTTTTGCTTGTGTTTTTTAGCCCATAGATCGAATTTATTGAAAAGATTTTTAGCGTTGTTTTGCTCATTTTTTGCTGATAGTAATAGTATCCCTCTACTTTCTTTTACATTGTCGAATAAGTGGACCGGCTTTTTCTTTGTTTTTTTTTGTCGTGTTGGCTTTTGTTTCCTTTGATTAACGCCCATGCAATTGAAATTAAATCGCCTGCAAATGATTCGCAAGCCACCTAAAAAAATTGGCCAATCCAAAAAATGACATCGTTTATGCAGCCGGGGGCTGCGCCATTTGTAAGCTTGCCTTTTTTCGACCAATGTGGAGCCATATGGAGGGAACATTGTCTGATTTTGACTTCAACTCGAATGTCTGTCTAGTGTGTGGAAAACAAATGAAAAGGAAATCCAGCACTTTTTGCGTTCATATACATATATATTACATTTTTTTTGTTATGTTCCGCATAACGAGCACGGACCATGTCGAACCACGTGCAGCATAATCACCTGAGTATCGTTGGCATATCCTAGATATTTTGCAACCAGGCCGTATTTTCTGTTATTCTTGGGACTTAATAAGTGAACTTTAAAGAGCCGCATCGCTTACAGCCAGGAAATTGTATGGATCTGGGGGTCGCAGGTCCAGCGGCAATTGGATGAAGTTGCCGATGCTGATGAGGCTGCTCCTGTAGTTGCTATTCCTGCATGCAATTAAGCCAGGGACGAAAACGAGGCACAACTTGCCACTCTGTGTGTCCCAAAACTGCAAGCTGACCATGCAAATTACGTTGCCCATACTCATACTTGCACTACACACACGCATTCCTGTCGCCTCGTTTCGGGGGCCTCCGGGGCTTCCCCGGCATTTGAGTGATGCACCAAGTCGGGGATGTGGAGAAGAAGGCCACTACTACTGCCACTACCACTACTCCTACTACTAACTGCCACTGCCACTGCCAAAGCTAAGTTAAATGGACCTGCGGTGCACTCGAGCAGCCAGGACGCAAACTACAGTGGATACTGCTTAGGATTCGCTTTTTAATGAGCTGATAGCAAATAGAAAGAATTAGCTTTCCTCAAGTCCGCCTGACTGTGGTGCTCTTACTCAAACTAACCAAAATTGGAAAGTAGCTGGTGGGCTACTCACGGTTCGGCTTTAGCCTGGCTCCACTGTACGCCGTGCATGCAGATTGAAGTGCAGACCATGTCAAGGTAGCGGCTGCAGCTTTGGCCAGTAGATTAAATTAAACGTGGCAAAGGAGACGGCGCCAGAAGAGGACGAGCGCCGTGGCTCGGTGGCTGGTGGCTAGGTGGCTCCATGGGTCCGTGACTCCGAGGACTCGCCAGCCAGCCAGCCAGCCAGCCAGCTTGCCAGGAGGAGCAACTGCAGCCATGCGATGGCAATTGCAACGGCAACGGCAACGGCAGCGACAATGGCAACAACATTAAACGTGTTTACACCATGTCCGACCAGTTGATATGCCAACTGCCCGACCTGTCCTGTCCCCCACTGCACACACTCCCTCACACACACAGGCACACTCGCACACACACACACACACACACTCACAGGGATGCGTAGCCAGGCATGAACTGCTCTTGGACAATGAACACATGCCATGGCTGGGCATTACGACCCATCTGCCCAGCCAGCCACCCACCACCCACCACCCACCCGTCCACCATTGTCCTGCTCTTTGTTTACTGTTTTTCAAGGGGTTTCGCAGGCGAGTGAACTAGCAAAAAAATGAAAGCAAAGAATCACAATCACTGCATACTTGCAGGTGCAGCTGCTGTCATAATACAATAGAGAAGCTGGCGCTACAATTGCCACAGTCGTTGTTGTTGCCGTTGTTGTTGTTGCTGTTGCATTGTTGTGGGCTGCGAATTAACTAAGGCCACCCCATCACAGTTGTTCCCTGCCCCACTTTTCCCTGGCACTATTTTCAACATCTTGGCGACCACGTTTTCGTAGAAAAATGTTGCATACTTTCCGCAACTGCACGGTATTGCCGCTGTGTGTGTGCTCGCTTGAGTGTTAGTGTGAGTGTGTGTGTGTGTGCATGTGTGAGCTGTGTCGCCATGTGTTAAGTAAGTTCGGACAAGTGGCTTTCCCAGGCATTTTCCAAGCACCTTCGCCCGACACTTGTACTGTCACTTAAGCTAAGCATCAAGAAAATGCCATTTTTCATCTGAAAGTAGTGCAAAAACATTGATTGCAACACGCTGCTGTCCTTTTGGATTCACATTTGTGGACATTATCAAATTGCCTTGGCTTTATTGCCACGAAATTTCATGGGCAGAACTATTCATTCAACTGGCTTGTATGGCATTAACATCAAGCTCATTGGGAAATGTTGTGAATTACTTCATTGACATTTGGCATTAGATTACATAACTGAAAAATAGTAATCTAATACTATGCATTATTATTTATTAAGGACACGAGTTTGGAGTTTTATCCTGGATATATATCAACAGCATATTCTTAGACTGCAATTATTTCTTTGCATATTAATATTATCCTTGACCTCTTGTTTAATGAAAATGTAATACGTTAGCCAAATTCTATGCGAATAGAAAGCTGTTAAAAATGCTGTATTGTTTCTGTTGAGGGGAATAAATTAAGAATGTCCCTACTTCTGCCGCATAATAAACCTAATATATCAAATGGCCACATTTACACCGACAAACATGGTTGTGTATCCTAGGCCAACTTTGCCAAGCCAACTTTTCCAGTGCGACAGACAAAGTTAGCCAGTAATATATGAGGGGGCATTGTTGAGCTTTCAACTGGCAACTGGTAATTGTAACTGGTGACTAGCAACCTGAAAGTTGCAGGTTGCAACTGTCTCACCTTCGTCAGTTTAGCCGGAGGAATCAAAGTCCAAATATTACGCTCATTTATTGATCGTTGGCAAACACAAACGAGAAGTCAAATGAAATTGCTATAAACGATGGACGGATGGAACTTTTCCCCAGCCCCCCTCATTTCCACAGGACCCCTTCTATTGACAGGGGCATGTGTTTGGGCGGGCGGAGCAAGGTGGGTGGTGGAATTCGGGGGAAGACAACTTCCTGGTTGTACCCGGAGCAAGTCGTCCTCGGTGGAACCGGGGCCATCTAGCCCAGGTGGGGCACAACAATTGCAGGAGATCGGCAATTTCCTGCTTGCCTCGCAGGCAACATGATTACAAAGCACAAAAATCAATAGGAAATGCAGTTAAATATTTTGCAAGCCGAAATAATTGCACATCCGTAAACTGATGGAATGATGGTATATGGGCAGTACTAGTGCATATAACTAGATGAGTAGTGGCACAATAAATGCAGCCAGCTGTCCGACATTGTTGGCAGAAAATTATTTAATTAAAAGCCCAAGCTGAAGTTGCCCGGAAAATGTTCCTCAGCTGTAAGCGCAACGGAAAAACTTATGGATCATTGCAAACTTTCGTTACCCTCCTGTTTTTATTTTATTCCATTTTATTTAATTTTATTTTAGTTCTGTACCAACCCGATTTCCACCCGGAAAGCTGAGCAGGTGAAAAACTTTGCCAGTCAGCCTTCAACTTGTTAAACAATTTCGTATATATTTTCGACAAGTTTGCCGTCGTAGGTGCGAGTGTGCGGGTAGTTAAAAATCTTTAAGATAGCTCCGATAGTAGAAAAGAAATATATATACATATATCTATATATACAAGGAGCTTTTGCATCTGACTAGCTGACTATCTGCGATTTGCTCTGACTGGCAACTTTGCCAGACTATTTTTCTGCCGCTTGGCAAGGCAGTGCAGCTAGTGGAAAAGCTATATACCCCCATTTCCCATTCCCATTCCCCATTTTCCAATGCCGATATTTAGCCATATATTCCCCCGATTCAGGGGTTGTCGGCTTTTGTGCGCTGAGCGCCTCAGCCATATGCAATTGAATTGCCAGGCTGCATGCTGCATGCTGCATGCTGCATTCAGGTGCTTGGACCACACAGATAACACTGCAAAATACCATAAAGTGTGCGCTTAAAGGGTAACGATATCAATAATAAATAGCCCGTCTAGAAATTCATGCAAGAGAATCTCCCAAAAGCCAGTGCCAGAGCAGGAAACTGAAAAAAAAAATAAGAAGCTGCAAAAACAGAGACAGGACAACAAAAACAGGCAAGTGCCGCTGGCCAACTATTAAATTGGCCAGCTTAAACGTGGTCTATATAATAAATTGATGGGTTTAACCACTTTCGGCAGAAATGTGCATGGGCAGAAATTTAAGGAAATGCACACTGAAATTTAAGAGCTTCGTGTGCATCAGAAAATCGCATCATTTACATATTGTCGCTCGAGTGCTTATTGGCACAAGAAAGTTAAGGCAGCCTAGAGTGGACATCTTGAGTGTGGAAAGTGAGGAGTTATTCTTCTGCAGGTGTTAAAATAATAGTTGAATTATTTACTGGAGGTGCTCAAGTGCATTGCGGTCCCTAAACTTTAACTATGAAACCCAAGTGGCAGTTGAGTATAACTAACACCCAAACTGTGGGTATCTGTTGCATATAAAGCGGAAAATATATAAAAATTATAAACGAAATGGGAGCATTTCTATATGGCCACCGACCGCAGTGCGCAGATAATGGAAAATGCATTTTCCATAG